AGGGGAAATGCTCAAATAAAGATCCCATTGTGAAATAGGTGAGTGGGGCACCTGGGGGGCTCAGTTGGTTAAGCGTCCGACTCTTGGTTTTGGCTCAGGTCAGGATCTCATGGTTGTGAGATCGAGCCCCAAGTCGGACTCCGCGCTCAGCATGGAGTCTGCTTGGGATTCTCTCTCTCCCTCTCCCTCTGCCCCTTTCATCACTTGCTCTCTGTCTCTAACTCGAATAAATAAATAAAATCTTTAAAAAAAGAAAAACAGGTGATTAACAGATGGTGGCCAGCAGCAGCTGCCTCAGGAATCAATCAATACCAGAGAGAACAACGGCCAGTGTTCACAGATGTTAAATCACATTTTCATTTATTTAAATACACATAAAAGATTTTCATTGTCACTGTATCAACTTGATCCTTTGAGGTGCAGTATCTCCTTGCATCTCTTGCCACATCACTCTTTCTTTCTCGGTGTGCGTTCTACTTTTTGTTGACTCAAGTCTTCCTTTCTTGGCACCGGCTTTTCCTCAATGTGGAGCTTCTTCATTTGTGCGTGTGTGGTAGTGGAGATTCAGTTAGATGGTTTGCTATTTCTCCTTGTGCCGCCGGCTTGAGTGAAGAGCCCGAGTTCAGTGGCGTGAGGGAGTGGCTGAGTGAGTGCTTTCCTGGCTAGTCATTGCCAAGGATGGCCCCTCCCTCCTGGACATTGCAGCGGGGGGAGCTCTGTTCAGCTTCATCATTATTCTCTCAATTCCTGTTGTGCAGAAGTCCAACCACCTGGCTATACATGCTTTGTTCCCCCAAGTACTCCTGCTGGGCCCCTCCCTGCCCCAGCATTCTCCATCTCTGGATAGAGAGCACTCTGGGTGAGCTCTCAGTCTTTATGGCCCTCTCTCTTGTCTTCTCATTGGGCTTCTGTTTCTTCTTTGAGGCAATCTCTCTTTAAGTCTTTTAGGGGGGTGTCTGGGTGGCTCAGTTGGTTGAATATCTGATTCTTCATTTCGACTCAGGTCATGAACTCGAGGTCCTGCAATTGAGCCCCGTGTGGGCTTGGTGCTCAGCCGGGAGTCTGCTTGAGATTCTCCCTCTGTCCCTACCCCCACTCATGCTCTCTTGCTCTCTCTCTCTCTCTCTCTCTCTCAAATAAATAAATAAATCTTTTTTAAAAAATAAAATAAGATAAATTGGTCTTCTAGGGATTCCTCATGGCCTCTAGTCCACTGGGGGGTTTACTTTCTTATTTTCCAGTATGTTTATGGTTGCTTGTTTGTTTGTTATCATCACTTTTCTTTTTCCAGCATTTCTAGAAATTTAGAGTGAGCAGAGCTTACTACAGCATGTAGTCAGCCTGCCATCTTGACCGGGAACTTTTAATCATGCATCTAATGGGGAAAACATTAATACTTTTAACAGTTGTAAAGCATCAATACCAGAAAAATACCTAATGGGTCATCTTAAAGGAATCGTCTAAGGTTTGGGTTTACACATTGCCAAAAACCTGAAAAATTCAGCCATCCATAAGTACTGTTAATGTGTGTATGCCAGTGTAAAGTTTGCACCTAGTAACAATAAATAAGACAAATATCCTAAAGAAGCTAATTGTATAGGTTTTTCCACTTTTTGAACTATGTTAAAAGAAAGACAGTGGTTATATGTAATGAATACTTTTGCCTATCTCTGAGGATTTAAAAGACCCCTAAAGAAAGAGCTTTGAGAAATGTGTTGAGTGCTTTAAATGACATATAATTTAGTATTTGGAATTTTAAAAGTTATATACTCTTCAGTCTGGAATCTTACTGTATAAATGCTAACAGAATGTAATCTGGAATCAAAGTCAACTAAAGCTGGATCAATATTGTTTTTACTTCAAGTGCTTCCCATTCAGTGAAAAAATATGTATAAATTGATGTTGAAAGATGTCCAGGGGATAGAGATTAATTAACTTTTGATAAATGAGATAGTGGTAATTTCTATAAATTTTTATAACTAGGTCACAACAGGTTGTGCATTATCTCTCCCTTTTCAGAGAATGCACTCGTTCAAGACATATACCCAGCAAGTATGTCTCTACAACACCATTAAAATAAATTTGGGGGCAAAGAGTGAACCATCAAGAAATACATACATTTACTGAAGATTTTTTTTGTTACACCAGCAAACTGATGGAAGTTACTTCAGCATCTTGATTCGACAGAGAATATTAAAGGAAAAGCCCAGTTTTCAGTAATGGTAGCACATTTAATAGAATATTCTACAAATATGAAATTAGTCTTCCTTTCAAATGGACTAATGATCCAATATGAAAATTCTTTGGGAATTTTCTTGAAATGGCAAGAAAATTAACCTTTCCATAGTCTGTGAATGAACAGAAAAATAGAAATTTGTATCAGTTATACATATTACCCAATAGTTTAGAATTTTCTCATTCAAACTCGTCAAAATAACCCATCTAAATTTTGTTTTCAATTTTTCACATTTTAGTAACTTAAAATGATTTAAACAGTCAGCAACATTGATTTTATTAGATAGGTATACTTCTCAGTAGAAGAAAACGCACCAAACTTTCTTTTGGCTAAAATAATTGAACAGCTTATTATTTTAACTTTTTGTTATTCTATTCAAGTACAGCATCACAAAATGTTTCAGACGTCATTGATCAATTCACTAAGTTATAATTCATTCTCAAAATTTTGGCAACTATCTGCTTCAGATAGTTTTGTGAAGAATATAATCACATTTTCTGATATGGTCACAAAATTAGCCTAGAAAATTAGTTTTTAATACATTACTTTGTTCTTTCTAGTAATTAAAAAACTGGCTTTTCTTTTAAGTTGCTAAATGGAACTGGGTTTGCCATTAGATGAAGTAAATTTTCATCACCTCAACATATCTCACCTGACACCTGTTATAAAATTTTCTTTTTCCCCATCGTTTCTCAAGGCCTTGTTTCTCCCACTCTGGCCTGTGGACCATCTACACCAGAATAGGCTCAGGCACCTTTAAAAACTTAAGAATGTTATTGCCCCCTCCCCCTGCCCAGTTCCATCACCACCATAACCCCCTTGCTAAATCATGACTGCTGGCTTTGGGGCCTATGTAGCTCCATTTTTAATAACTTGTCCAGGAGATTCTTATGCACGGTGACAATAGAAAAAATTAACTCAGATCGGCCCTTCTTTAAGTGGCTAATACTAGTTTATATTTTGTAAAGTCAGGAACAGATCGTTTCGAGCAGTGTTAGTAACTCGTTTGCCTTAAGGAAGCCTGCGTGGGATAGGGATGGGAGGACGACGATATCAAGGAAAAGCCCATCCTGTACACCAGTCGGTTGCTCCGAACCATTGCAGGCCGTCTTGTCCTAGACACCAGGCTGGCCTGACATGCGGCTCGAGCTGGCATCTGACAATGGACTTGTGCAGAAGCCTCCTGGACAGCACTCACTCTCCCATCGCACTGGGAATCCCAGCCCGTCCTCCTGTGAGAGGCGAGGATCTTAGGACAGGGCCTCACAAATCAAATGCATATATTAAATTCGTGTTCAGCTGTGACTAACGATCCCTTGGATACAACCACTTTCCTTCCTGGACCAGAGTTTGAAAGTACCTACAAAAGGAAACATGCCAAGAGGAGGCATGGGGACCTTTGAAGACAAACTTTGTCAGCTTAGTTCAGCTTAGAGCGAGGGTTGCCTACATGTCTCCTTTTTCCTAAGAAGACAATTCTGCCTGAACAACGTTTGGGGATAATGAAATTTTCCCGAAACACCTTGAAAAATTAATAATAACAATAAAAAAGGAAAAAAAACACCACAAAAGTGAGACCGAAGTGCCAACTTTAGTAGGGGAAGTAGTGGCATGAAGAAAGTCTTCTCTTAATCCACTCTTCTTCCTCTGGCCGGACACTGTATTTTACCAAATATTTGACATCACCCTCATAACAAGGACTCTGACTATCAAAGAGCTTAAGTTATGGCTTCTTACCTTCACTCTGATTTGGATCTGTGATGACCTAGTTAACAAGGGATAAGATAGCGCTAAAATGTGTTGTTTTCCCACATTGTCCCTGCATCGGTCACACTAACCCAGTTAAAAGGATGTCCATGATCTGAGTCTCTTTGAAAGCCTTCTAGTTAATTAAAACTTATGTTGAACAAAGATAGATCTTAGGCCTAAATAAAAGCGTCTATTTTTATTTCTTAGAGGCACCTGCACAGTGCCTCTGGAAGCTTCCTCAAATTTTAGTGAAACCAAATGACAGTGGTGTATAATATTTGGTCACACCACACACACACACACACACACACACACACACACACACACACACATGCATGTTAATGGCATCTGTACATGCCACCTGCTCTCCACTCACAACCACATGGTTTAACGAACAAAGGAAGGTGAGTTTGCAATGGAGATAAAGGGATGAAAGCAGTAAAAGATGGGACGAGGGAGGTAGGCAGGAGCCAAATGTGATAGGGCCACAATCAGGTTTGGGGGCTTTTGCCTAAAGGTGAGGGTGATCTAGTTAGACTTGGCATTTGGGAAGGATTGTTCTAGAGACAGTATAAAGAAGTAGGAGACCATTGCAGTAATCCAGGCAGGAGCCTGGGACTAGAGAAGTGGCAGGAGAGACGGGACAAGCGGATGGATCTGAGAGATACTTAGATGAGAAAATGATGAATTAGCTATGTGGGAGGACCATGATTTTTATTTTGAACAGCTTCAGTTAGAAGAGTCTTTAAGATGTCAAATAGGCAGGTAGTTACAAGGGTCTGGAAATCATAGAGAGCTTCAGTTCTCTCTCTACATTGTTGAAACATCAGCCTGCTTCTTGGGACCCAGTGCTTCTCCCAGTTTTTACATTTCTGTCAGATAGACTATTATCTAGATCTGCACTATCCAAAACAGTAGCCACTGGCCACAGGGGCTGCTGAAATTGAAACCAATTAAATAAAATGTAAAATTCAGCTCCTCAATTACACCAGCCGCATTTTATATGTTCAATAGTCACCTGTATCTAGTGATTATAGTACATGACAGCACAGATACTAAACATTTCCATCACTCTACGGAACAGTGCTGATCTAATGACCTGCTGGTACCTCAGCTACATCTCCGAAACTGAATTAACATTTCCTGCAATTTCATACCAGTTACATTCTATATGTTGTTAGTTATTTCTGCACCTGCACCCTTGTGTATGGTGAGTTCCATGAAAGCAAGGACCCTGCCCTACCCTACTCGTTCTCAGGCCCCCTCACACCCAGCAGAAAACCTTGGTACTAGGTGCTTAGCGAGCACTGGTTGAATACATGAGTGAGTGACTGAGTAAGCCAATCTCTAAAATTCTGTTTCAAAAACAGACAGAAAAATAACCACTTATGTAATGTCTTAGATTTTATGCCAATGATATGGCTATAAACATTGAAAATGTAGAGTAATGTGACCTGGCTTACAAGATGGCGACAGCATGAGGGTTTATCACACATAATTATAGCGTAATCCGAGCAGAGGCAGGAGAGATAGAAGGTAGAAGGCGTTCTCTCCCATTGCCTTCTGCCCCTGCTGCACTCAGTATTAGCCGGACCAGCCTTCAGTGGGTAACTCCTACCAGCAGTTGCCACTTCATGGAGACCCCCGCAGCAACAGTGTCTGTTGTTATAACATCTCTGCTTCTCTCTGTCACGTGTTCTGCCCCTAAAGGGTCAGAACTGCTGGCCAGACAACCAGAGTTGTGGTGAGAGTTCTGCCCACATCATCTTCCTGGGACTGGTCAGTGTCACGATAGGGACTTCCCTCCGAGGCTTCGTCAACACCCAACCTCCAGATGCTCTTCAGTGTTGCTGCAAAAGATGCCCCCAACACCCATGGGGATGGGAGGATTGAAAGAGTAATTAAGTGTTGGTGGAAGGCCTGGGAGGGGTGAAGAGGCCCACGAAAATGAGAGGAGGACAGGAGAGGCAAAGCTTGAGTAGAAACACACCCCTCCTTCTTTCTTCCAGCTGCGTGATCGGGCCTGATAGAACAGTCCTATTTGTGCACAAGAAAGAGTTAACTGTAGGTGCCGAATCATTATTTTGGACATGGTGCCCCACTGGGGAATGGTGCGCTTGTGGATGGTAACAAATCGTCATTAAGCACCAAGCATGTGCTAGGTGCCAGACCAGACCCTAGGGATCCAACAGATGCACCTCTGCTCTCCTGCTTGTCGTGTAAGAGAAGTGAGTCAGTGGGCACCTGTACTGCCCTGGTAAGCGCTAAGGTAGGGCGAGCACAGGCTCTGGGTGCTGGGAGACTTAGGGACTCCTGCAGAGTCTGAGGACAAGGCTTCTTGTTGGAACTGACGCCCAAGCTGAGCCCCAAGAGTAGGCATCACCCCGGCCAGTGAGGGAAGAGAAGAGAGGCCCAGGAGAGGGGCCCAGAAGCAGGTGCAGAGGTCTCGACAGAAGTGAGAGCCAGGCAGTGCCAAAGCACAGTTGTCCGTAACACTTGAGAGTATCGGCCAAAAAAGTGTGGGAAGTAAAAAGTGACTGAAAAGACAAACCCTACATACCGTTTCTTGTCCTCTAGAAATGAAAAAGAACTCTTTCTTTTTCCCCCCTTTTCCTTACTCGACCCCCATGTTTCTTGCTCTTCCACAGGAATGCAAAGCAATCCTGCTGTCCGTCGGGCTACGACATGGGGGCTGGGGCAGGGTGGTCCACTGTCTCTGTTCTGGAGCCAGGCTGGCTCCGTTTCTAGCCCTCAGTAGCTGACAGACTTTGGGCAAGTTCAGAATTTGCTTGTTTCCTCACCTACAAATGAGAACAACACTGGTACCTACCTTCTGCAGTTCCTGAGGACTTACAGGACTACTTCCATAAGCTGAGATTTTAGTGCCAGGCACCTAGAAAGCACTCTATGAAGGTTGTCTGTTATTATTTTGAGCTAAAAAGACTCTTGTTCGCTAATGTGGAAACCAGCGTTTTGCCTACATTTCCATGAGAAACAACTTACAAAGTTTTCTGTGCCCCACTGAGAGTCAGGTCTAGGAAGAAGATCTTAAAATCCAGTAAGTTTTCTATGTGTTCCACAAGACGACATGTTTCCTACAATAAGGGATTTCCCAAGATTATGAAAAAATTTTCAGGTACCGATCAGAAAACTATTGTATGATGTTAAAAGATTTAGAGGAAAAGCCTGTCCTGTTACATCCAATGATACATTTCTTTGAAGGTTAAAAAAAATTAGCCTCAATTGTTATCAAAAACACAATGACAGGAATTCTGTTTTGTTTTGTTTATCTTGATGCAGTTAAAAAACCTAAGTATTGCCGTTCTTCTACTTGGATATCCTACCAGTACTTTTTTTCTCCTCTCCCCACATTATATCGATCTATTCTTATCTCTCCATTTTGCAATGAAGGCACTGAGGCTTAGAGATTATTAGGTAATTTAGCCAACGTTATGCAACTGTGAAGAGATGTAGCCAAAACTGAACCCTGAGCCTTTTGACTACAGTCTGAATATGTACTCTGATCTTTGAGCCTTAGAAAAATGTCACTCCCGTAAAGTGCTTGGAACCCTGGGAGGCATGCAGAACATGTTCAATAAAAAGGTTAGATGCTATCTCGAATTGCCCATCTACTTTGAGTTCTGCAAGATGTTAATAATGTTATACGGGAAAAGTAATTCAAGTATGTTTGGGAAATCCTGGGTTAAGCAAAGTTAAATTCATTATTTCCTGTAAGGTCTCTGATACATTACTGGGCATTCAGAGTACCAAAAATGAGAGTATAGTTGTGGCAATTTCCAAATCATATTTGACCACAGAACTTTTTTTTTCTCTAAAGTGGTTCAGCAGGACCAAAGTTCCTGGGAACTAATTTTGGAGGAAATTCTGTATCAGGTAAATGCAGAGTGACAGATAATACAATTCAAATTCACCGGTGGGGGGGAATATATTTTGTGTTTGCGAGAAAAGTTATTTTACTGTACTGAGCAGAAACAGCATAAAACGGAACTTGAAGTCATTGTTCTAAATCTTAATTTGTTTGAGATGGGGAAGCCGATTGAGAACCGCTTTGCAAAAAATATGTCACCAGTCAAGTAGGAAGTGGGCATTCTTGCAGCTCCTAACAGCTTCAGCCACTTTGTTATTCAGAGCCAGAGCTGCAAGGCTCCTTATCTTGGAAAGCGCAATGTGCTCGCACGCGTGTGTGTGCGCATGCACACACACACACACACACACACACACACGTGTGCACATACAACCCCAAGAACGTGAGAGAGATGATGGAGGGGTGGCACCCTTTTACATATACAGTTTGAGGTTCAAAAGTTTGAAGTGAAGCAATTACAAAGTTTGAAAAACTTGCTGGGGGCGGAAATGGTTTTGCATTCTCAGTGATTTCCTAATTCTATACTAGCCAGCCATTGGAGCACTCTGGAAGTGAATCTAATCAGCCCACGGTTATTAAAGGGGACAATGTACTTGTGGGTAATGTTGAGAGATTCCATTTGGGACCCAACTCTATCAACTTGGGGGGATGTTGGACCGGTCATTTCTTTGATCACTTTTCTCATTTGCAAAATGAGAAGGGTGATTTAGACCACCCCTAAGGGGCCTTCCAGCTCTACAGATCTGTGAAATTGAAGGTTATAAACCTCTTCTGGCTGTTAATTCCCAGGAAATAGAAACTTCTCTGGATAGCAGGGACATCGTAATAAGAAGGCAGCAACAAAACAATTAGCTCTGGAAGTTAGCCAGAGCCCCCAGGAAACCAGATAGGTGTCTAGGCCCTAGCCTACAGGCCGCTGTGTGTTACTAAATTCAGGGTGATGGTTCTGAAGTAGTAAATATGGGCCCTGAATGCCTAGAAATAATGACAGCTGTCAAAAAGTTCTATTCCTGGGGCACCTGGGTGGCTCAGTCGTTAAGCGTCTGCCTTCGGCTCAGGTCATGGTCCCAGGGTCCTGGGATCGAGCCCCACATCGGGCTCCCTGCTCTGCGGGAAGCCTGCTTCTCCCTCTCCCACTCCCCCTGCTTGTGTTCCCTCTCTCGCTGTGTCTCTCTCTGACAAATAAATAAATAAAATCTTTAAGGAAAAAAAAGTTATATTCCAGGGTTGCCAGGGCAAAATTCCTGAGACAGAGTCCACATGTTTCAATGTCAGAAATACTATATATATGAGAATGAAGGTAACTGCTTTCCTCCGTGGGCGCCTAATGCCTGATTGAAATTGTAACCACCGGGTCTGCCTACACCATCTTAGTTACAATGGGTTTGAGAGGCCAACCGGAATGACTAGCATGTGAAATGACTTAAATCAGAAAATCAAGAAGTCGTGTTGCTATTTTTATTTTACTTTTAACAACAACAACAAAAAAACCCTCAGTTCTGAAAAACTCCTAATTTCTATCTTTGTGTCTCTTCCCACCATTTATGATTGTCTCGAGAGATAAACAGTGTTCATCTTTTGAAAGATGGGCACTTTTAAAGTAAAGCCACTCATGATAATTGGTGTCAAAGGAAGACTAAGACATGTGATCATCCAAAGCAGCGAGTTATTAAATATTCCGTTGTTTGAAAGTATGGATTTTGTGGATGATGTTGAGTTTAGTCAAAGCACCGTGCCTTTCAAATCATGCTATTCTTAGGTGGATATAAAAATGACTTCGGATTCTCTGCACACACTATGACAGCTACGGGGAGGCCACTGTGCGGCAGCAGAGTGAGCTCCAATGGAAGGGACGCGGCACTGCTGTATTTAGAGAGAGCTGATCTGTGCTCTGCACCTGCCTCTAGAGCATGTAACCTCTGGATCTCACTCATACATAAAACAAGCTTTTTGGTTCTCTGAAAGGCCACTGGCCATCTGGGACACACTATTCCTTATTGAACACAACCATCTTGCTTAGTGCAGGAATTTTTGCCTCTCACTTCTAGCCACTGAAAAGCCAGTGGCACTCACTAGCCATTGCAGCAACCAAAAACAACTCCTTGTCCCCCATCACCACCCCCAATTCCAAATGCTTCCTTGGAAGCTGGTACAGCTCCACCCCTGCTTGGAACCATGAGCAGATGCACCCAAAGATTCCTTTCTGCCCAGCATTCTATAAAGACTGGCCAGGAAGAGCAGTGGGCAGTCATAAGCCCCAGTTTTAAACCTCCTAGAAACATCCTCCAGCAAGAAAGCCACACAAAAAGGCTTTCTTTTAGCCCTAACAGTTGAGCTCATTATGGAGTTATAGAGCAGCAATTCCATATACTTTCACAGCAAACTTTTGTCATTCTTCTCTTTTAATCTCCAGAAGAAGGCAGGATTTTTTTTTTAATCTCACTGAGATCAAAAGAAGCCCCCAGCTAGTTACAACCAACAGGCACCCCCACATTCCAGCCTATGTCAGCCATTTTCATCTCCAAACAGTCTTGATTCAATCCAGCCCAGCTACGGCTTTTATCAGGCACATACATTAACTGGAGTCTTCTCAGAACTCTGTTGAATAGATGGCTAACCCACATGCTGTTGACATACTCCCCACTCCACCAATGGGGTCCTTTCTTTGATGTTTTCTTGGATTCCCCATAAAGGCTGAACAGCCGATGTAGAATCTGCCTGAGTAAATCTCCTCTCTGTTCTCTTTTCCCACCCCAGGTCCCATTTTTCCTTCCCCCAGCTCAGAGATTTGACTATCAACAGTTCCTCTTCTGCCCAGGAAGTTAATGATTAATCTTGCTCAACCCCCCCCCATCGTCACCTCAGCACACACATGCACACATATGGATGAGCAAGCAAACACATAGCCATGACTTGAGAAATCTTAAGTTACTCCTATTCACAAAAACAAAACAAAACACCCGGGGAAATCTTTCTTTATTGGGGGAAGAGTTCTGCCTGTGAATGTTTGCCCTTAGTGTACTGGTTGTTGATTTTCTGTTTAGTTTCTCCTTAGCGTCTCCTTTCATCTTAGAGGAATAGCATGTATTTTTTTTTTCAGTTATTTCACCACTGAGATGCTGAAAAAACTCACAAAGGAAGATGTTTAGCTTTTATCTTTTTAGGGTTTTCAAACAAATGAGACCGGGAGATAATAAGAGATAGAGGGCACTATTTTTGGGTTCATGGGATGGTAGAAAGAATATAAGGCTTGAGTAAGGAAAATAGGATTCTAACCCCTGAATCTCATGATTTTAAGCTTTGTGTCCTTTAGTGAATCACCCAGCTTATCTGGGCCTCAGATTTATCTTTGATCAGAATAGGGAACATTTTTAAGAGTTATCTTATGTGATGTCATCCTAAGTCAAAGGGATTCTCTTATTCTGTGTTGCTAAGTCCTATGTGGAAGCAGGAAGATGTCCTCATAAAGATTCAACAGGTTTATTTGTGCCAAACTACATGAAGGGCACTGGAACAGTAAAATCATAAGAACTTTCAGTCCTACAGTTTTATGGTTCTGTCCTTAGGAACAGAGATTCTTATTCCTTGGCCATTTGCCCCATAAGTGGTATAGGGTACGAGGTCAAAGGCATTCTACCTTCTTGATGAATCCACTTTGCCTGGTACCATTCCATTTCTGGATAGAAAACTGGTCATTGGTATTCTATAAGCAGTATATTAAAGATTTCTCCTGATCACTTTGTCTTCCTTTCCCCAATGTTTTCAATCTGCCACATCTGCTAAAGTAATCTTCTGATTTTCCCTATCGCCTGCATCACCCTCCCCTCCTACTTGTCACTTCCCCATTCATCCAATTACCAATGAGGTAGTGCTCCGGCCTCTCAAATGAGGCTTTTCCCATCTCATAATCACCAAGTTCTCTTACTTCAACTTTGGTGAGATCGTACCAGGGTTGGTTCTTATGGAAAGGGCAACTCTCAGACAATGAAGTACTAACTGGAAGTGTCAGCTAGTAGCTGATACAGTAATATGGAGGGTCAAAAATAAACAACTTGCATTTTAAGACTGAAGAAAGAGAGGTTGTGATAATATTACATTTCAGGCAACAAGTTGCACCCCTTAGTAGTGCAATGACTACTTAAAGTTACCGGTCTCTTCATAGTCTTCTAAGTTTTTATGTTGACCTTTGAATATGACAAGGTATATCACCATTTATTCTATACCAGTGATTCTCAAACTTTAGTGTATGTTGGAATGACCTGAATGACTTATTAAAACACCGATAGCTGGGCCCCAGCCCCAGAGTCTCTAATTCAGTAGATCTGGGATGGGGCCTGAGAATTTGAATTTCTAATAAGTTCTCGGGTGTTGCTGATGCTATTGGTACTGGGCCCCTAATTCAAAAACACAGTCCTGTACTACAGAAGAAAATGGATAAATGCTATCTTCAGGTTATTTTTTAAAATTCTTTAAAATAATCTACCTAAAGCATCTTTTTATACTTTAAACCTTTTCCAGAGCAGTAATTTCAGCATTAGCTGACTTGAGTTTCACAATTTATTTCATTTAAAGGAGAAGAAAAAAAATCAGTGTTTCTCAAAATGTGGTCTATAGGCCGCATGCATCAGGACTCCCTGAGATTCTAAGCAAGAAAACCACTGAGCCCCTTCCAAAAGCACTGAATCAGAATCTCTAAGGATGGGTTTCTAGAATCTATTTGTTAAATAGGCACGCAAATGATCTTTTTGCCCCCTAAATTGTGAAAACTACTGCCATAGGCCTAAGTTCAATAGGCAGCCTAATAACAAATGTTTGAACAGTTGAATTATGACAATTTAATAAGATCCTAAAATATGATTCTTTCCAGGAACTAGGAGTCATATTTCCGTTAAAGATTCTAAAATATCAAAGATCACTTTAGCTTTTAAAATAAATATGCTATATAATTTATTGATGTTTCAGCTATGCTACAATAGTACCCTAAACATTTTTCTATGATCGCTGTGCATAGTTGATCTTTCCCCCTCATGTACTAATTTTTTTGTCACTAAGTAATTAATTTGTACTTCTTTCTGTTTAATGTCATTGTAGTTAGACTTCTCTAACTTACCAGGGTTTCTTTCCATATGGTTCTGGTTTTCTAAAGCAACTGTAGGCCCCTCAACAAGGCATTATCAGCAATCTGAGTTAAGTGCTCCCCTTTATTGTAGTCCTGCAAAAACTACATCAGAGGTTTGGTCAAAATGAAAACTATGCCACAATTTGTAGGATTTTTATCATTTTACAGATTAAGCAGAGGATCAGAAAGATGAAGTGATTGTGTTGGCAAAATTGAAAAATGGCTAAAATGTCCAGTGGTAGGGAGGTTATGAAGAGACAGAACTTCAGCTCGTCCACAGTGAGAGAGCCCCACTGAAGGACAATCTGACAGAACCTATGTGAATATAAAATGCACAAGCCCTTCTATCTCAGCAACTCTATTTTTAAACATCTATTTTAGAAGACTACCACCACATATACGTAAAGAAACATGTGTGTGGGTGCTCATTACTGCATTGTTAGTAGTCAAGGGGGGAAAAGACTAAACAAACCATGGACTGTCCTGCTCACACAACACGCTGCCACAATTACAAAGAATGACACCGGCCCAGTAAATATAATGTGATATTCAGAATACAGGAATATTTGGGGTCTTAATTTTAGATATTTCTATGCATACATTCATAGGTGAGTAAATGCATAGAAAAAGTTCTGCAAAGATAAACAAAGGTTGCCCCTGGGAAGAGGAACAGAATGGGAGGTGAGAGGTCATGTGAAATTTTACTTTGCCTGTGTCATAAAACTTTTTCCAGAAGTATTTAATATATTATTTGTTTAAAAAAAATGCTTATTTTTTAAGAAGGAAGAGGGAGAACATGACATAACATCACACCTCTAGTAGGAGCTTCTCTATGGCTTTTAAAATATTTTTTTCTCTTCTGGGTCTTTTATGTCTCTCTCTTGTCTGATCATCTGATGCTTTTGTGCTATGTCTGGGCTCAGAGTCCCTCCTTTCTTTTACCTAGGTGATCTTCCAAAAATGGCAATGACAACAATAGTCATTGTCGTGGAAGAGGGAAATGTTAATTGAACTGAATACCTTCTCTGTACACGCATCTGTCTACACAGGTGTGCTTCTTGTAATTACACCAGCTTGCAGTCACTTTTGTCTCTCCAGTGCTTCTTCCTTCCAAGTCTCGCCAGAACACCTGTTCTGTCCAGGAGCTACAAGGAAGATTTACCTTCTTTCTTGGCAGTTCTGATCCTCTTTCCTGAACTCATATGACTCTCTACCTGGTCTGATGGTCTAATTTACCCCTTTCCAAACTGTATAGCTTTAGCAGGAAAAAACTGTCTTCCTGGATGAACCTGTGATCAGGCAATTTCCCTTATTAAAACTTTTCTTTATGGCACTTCCTATTTCTTAACTTATAAAAGGTGACTGTCACAAATTAATATAACCTATAAATATGCTTTGTTTGGTGTGCAGAGTTTTTTGGATTTTTGTTTGTTTTGTTTATTTTTTTAAGATTTTATTTGTTGGGGGGAGGAGCTGAGGGGGAGGGAGAGGAAGAGGGAAAGAATCCCAAGTAGACTCCATGCAGAGCATGGAGCCTGAGGGGGCTCAATTCCAGGACCTTAGGATCACAACCCAAGTAGAAACTAAGAGCCACATGCTTAACCAACTGAGCCATCCAGGTGCCCTTGTTTTATTTATTTACTTTGTTTTGCTTACCTAGTTGCCAACATTCAAAAATTGGAAAATTTCATAGAAAGATCTAGATTTGTTCTTCACATATTTACAGCAGGCTAGAACCCCTCAGTAGCCACCCTGTTGAGATAGGACACAAGTCTCTTGTTGACCACAGTCACATTTCCAGCTCAGTGTACAAAAGCATGTTCCTGCCTGGCTTCCAGTGACAGTTGAGTTTGAATCACCTGCTTTAATTATTCCTCTATTTGCTCTTATTCTGAAGCTGCGACATTGTCTCTGCAGCATCAATGTTTATTCCTTCCCTGCTCATAAATGTCATATTTCTGGGTTATATTGATTTTATTTTAAAATCATAGTGAAGAACATTCACTATTCCTTCAACATATAAATCAGTTCATATGTGAATATTTCTAAAACTTAAGTTTTAGTACTTCCTTTGCTTCTATATATTAATATACTTTTAAAACAACTTTTAGTATTTGAACAAAAGAAATACAGTTATTGTCTTCTGCCCAAATATGCTCTGTCTTTGAGCAAGAGGCACTTGGTAAATTCTGAACATCTGACAAAAAAAATGTTTCTTGTATACCGACTTTTTTCTTTTAAAATTTTATTTTACATTCTTTACAAAACTGAAAGATTCAAAAGTCAGCAATCTTCTATCAAATTACTGCCTAATAATTTGAATTTCATGTGATTTTATGAATTGAAAATAAAGTCATAAGAACAATGTATGTTTAATACATTTGACATTTAATATATAATTATATATAATTATATGAATGATTATATAGACAACAAATGAGTAGTCAACAAAGTGATTAGGGGAATGACTTTTTAAGAATAAAAAGAATAGGGGGGGCGCCTGGGTGGCTCAGTTGGTTGAGCGACTGCCTTCGGCTCAGGTCATGATCCTGGAGTCCCGGGATCGAGTCCCACATCGGGCTCCCTGCTCAGCGGGGAGTCTGCTTCTCCCTCTGACCCTCCCCCCTCTCATGTGCTCTCTCTCTCTCTCATTCTTTCTCTCAAATAAATAAATAAATTCTTATAAAAAATAAAGTCTTAAAAAAAAAGAATAAAAAGAATAGGGGCACCTGGGTGGCTCAGTTGTTAAGCATCTGCCTTTGGTTCAGGTCATGATCCCAGGGTCCTGGGATCAAGCCCCGCATCAGGCTCCCTGCTCGGCAGGAAACCTGCTTCTCCCTCTCCCACTCCCCCTGCTTGGGTTCCCTATCTCGCTGTGTCTCTCTCTGTCAAATAAATAAACAAAAACTTAAAAAAAAAAGAATAAAAAAATTCAGAGACTCTGAATGTTAAAGTTAGGTCTGACATAGAGAAGTTTAAGATAGTGAAGCCTTTCTTTACTTACTTTTCTCTAGTTGATCATCATATTGTTTTAATCTCTACCTCTTTACCTTCATCCTAATTTCGGCTTTAATTATCTTTGTAAACACTGATGTTTCAGTATTACTTTTGTTTCCATTTTGATGGACTATTCCTAAGCTGGCCAGCATTTTCTTGGCAGCTTGCTTTCAAAATAGTGTTTCTTACTAATACAGTTACAGTGCTTTGTTTTCAACTACATTGGTTTTCAAAATTTCCCACCCATTGTGGGTTTACAAGTCCTTTGAAGATAAGAACAAATGACTTTGAATTAGGGCAAGGAAAAATTCTGTAAAACTAGGTGTTCTAAGACTGTGACCCAGAAGTTTCAAGTCCTACCTTTGAAGGCCTCTGGGGATCTCCTGAAAATTTTTAAGATAATTTGGCATAAATGGCAATATCTACTTATATGCCTGTATTGTAAATGATATTCTATATCAGAGCAAACACCAATCATAAAAGAGATAATGTTCACTTTTTTCAACAATTTAAACAAATAGAATGCTAGACATACCCCTAATATTCTATATATAGGAGACACACACATACATACACACACACAAATAGAATGTCATATAAGGATATGAAAAGATTTTTAGCCTCACTTATAAACATAGAAATGCAAGTTAAAATGTCATATCATTTTTTTACCCACCAGTATTGTTAAAGACTAAAAAAGTATGATAATGCACAATGTTAGTGAGGTTATGGTAAAACAGGTATTCTCCTCTTGAGCTAGAACAGAAATAAATTGGTAATACTTACTAAATAACATTATTTACCAAATTGTTTTAACATGTCATCTTTTTGACTCACCAATTCCTCTTTCTAAAAATTGATATTACCGATGTATATACACTTGTGGGCAAAGACATAGGTACAAGAATGATTTTTTAATAGTGACTGTCTAATAATCCAAAAATATCAAAAAATAAAAACAACCTAGAGTCCCTCAAATGGTCAAACACTTCTACTCTGGACATATATCCAAGAGAAATGAAAACATATGTCTACAAAAGACTTATACACAAATGTTCATACCAGCATTATTTATAATAGCTAAAAAGTGGAAACAGCTCAAAGATCCACCATCTGGTAAATAGATAAGTAGATGTGGTATCCATGCAGTGGGTTTTAATTCAGCTATAAAAAAGAATATAGTACTGCTATCTGCTACAACATGATTGAACTGCAAAAACAATTTAGTGAAAGAAACCAGTCACGGAAGGAAAGATGGTGGAGGAGTTGGGACCCTATTTCAACTGGTCCCCAGAATTGAGCTGGATATCTACCAGACCACTCTGAGGACCCACAAAATCAGCCTGAGATGTAAGAAGATCTGTATCTCTACAAACAGAATATCGCAGGCGGTTGGTTTCGAAGTAGGAAGTGGGGAGCCGTGATTCCAGGGGCAGATACCAGAGGATAAATGGCAGCGGGAGGGAGGCTGGCTGTGGGGATCCTACACCGCCAATGAGCGACAGCCTGGCACGCTGGGGTCGGGGCACAGACTCACAGACCGGTAGTGGCTGGGAAAGGACTTTAGGGCAGCCCCCCGGGCAGAAACCCGGAGCTGCGGGGTCCCGCTTGCACTTTGGGGGCAGATGGCAGTTCTGGAAGCACAAAGGGTAGAGACGAGCCAGGACCTGGAGGCAGGACTGGGGGCGCTGTGGAGGGGCGCACAACCCAGGACGCTGCAGTTTATAGCAGCACAGACAAACGGAGACAGTATGGCCTGGAGAGCTCACTGAAGAACAGACTGCAGTCTCTCTGCTCTGAGGCAGAGGGTTGGAAATGGTCTCTTCTGCTCTGACTCCTGGAAGAGACGCAGAAAGCCGCCAGGGAAAGCTGCCAGAGAACAAAAGCCCCAAAAACTGATTCCCGCTGAGCCCATCCCCCGCCACAGGGGGGCAGGGCGACTCCGCCCAAACAGGGTTGCCTGAGTAACAGTGCAGCAGACCCCTCCCCCAGAAGACAGGCTGGGAAAACAAGAGGCCAACAACCCTAAGGTCCCAAGAAAACAGGTGCATCTTGCCTGGGTTCTGGTCAATAATTTGGACTCTATACATTCCCTCAAACACCCATCAACAGAATGACTAGGAGGAGGAGCCCCCAAAATAGGAAAGACTCAGAGATTACGAATTATGCTGCAGATTTACAAATGGATGCAGATATAACCAAGATGTCAGAGATGGAATTCAGGCTAGCAATCGTGAAGACAATGGCTAGAATGGAGAAATCAATGAATGGCAACATAGAGTCTCTAAGGGCAGAAATGAAAGCTGAATTGGCAGAACTTAAAAATGCTATCAATGAGATCCAATCCAATCTAGATAATCTAACAGCTAGGATAACTGACACAGAAGAACGAATAAGCGACCTGGAAGATAACATAATAGATAGAAAGGGAAAAGAGGAGGCCAGGGAAAAACAACTCAGAATCCATGAAAATAGAATCAGAGAAATAAGTGACACCAGGAAGCGTTCCAATGTCAGAATTATTGGAATCCTGGGGGGAGTGGAGAGAGAGAGAGGACTAGAGATGTATTTAAGCAAATTGTAGCTGAGAACTTCCCTAATCTGGGGAATGAAACAAACATTCGCATCCTAGACACAGAGAAGACCCCTCCCAAGATCAAGGAAAACAGGCCAACACCCCGGCATGTAATAGTAAAACTTGCAAATCTTAGAACCAAGGAAACCATCTTAAGGACAGTTAGGGGGAAGAGATTCCTTACATACAGAGGGAGGAACATCAGAATAACATCAGACCTATCCACAGAGACCTGGCAAGCCAGAAAGGCCTGGCAAGACATATTCAGCATACGAAATGAGAAGAACATGCAGCCAAAAATACTTTATCCATCAAGGCTGTCATTTAGAATGGATGAAGAGATGCAGAGCTTCCACGACTGGCAGAAACTGAAAGAATATGTGACCACTAAGCCGGCCCTGCAAGAAATATTAAGGGGGGTTCTATAAAAGGAGAAAGACCCCAAGAGTGATACAGAAAAGAAATATACAGGGACAATCTATAAAAACAATATCTTCACAGGCAACATGATGACAATTAATTCATATCTTTCAATAATCACTCTCAACGTGAATGGCCTAAATGCTCCCATAAAATGGCACAGGCTTGCAGATTGGATAAAAAGACAGGACCCATCCATATGCTAGCTACAAGAGACTTATTTTGAACCTAAAGATACATCCAGACTGAAAGTGAAGGGATGGAGATCCATCTTCCATGCCAGCAGACCTCAAAAGAAAGCTGGGGTAGCAATTCTTATATCAGACAAATTAGATTTTAAACTAAAGTCTGTAATTAGAGACACAGAAGGACACTATATCATTCTTAAAGGGTCTATCCAACAAGAAGATCTAACAATTGTAAATATCTACGCTCCCAACATGGGAACAGCCATCTACATGAGCCAACTGTTAACCAAAATGAAGAGTCATATTGATAACAATACATTAATTGTAGGAGACCTCAATACTCCACTCTCAGCAATGGACATGTCATCTAAGCAGAAAATCAACAAGGAAACAAGAGCTTTGAATGATACACTGGACCAGATGGACCTCATAGATATTTACAGAACATTCCACACTAAAACAACAGAATATTCATTTTTCTTGAGCACACATGGAACTTTCTCCAGAATAGACCACATACTGAGTCACAAATCAGGTCTCAACTGATACCAAAAGATTGAGATTATTCCCTGCATATTCTCAGACCACAGTGCTTTAAAACTGGAACTCAATCACAAGAAAAAATTTGGCAGAAATTCAAACACTTAGAAGCTAAAGACCACT